CGAACTGTAATCACCAACATAGAATCCCAAGGTACGATCAGTAGTAGATGCTCGGAGGCACCGGAACCGCTCCAAGGGCTCCACGGAATCTCCTTGGTCCGGAGAGATCCACAGCGGATGGTGGACTTGTTCATTCCGCCCGTAGCCCAGGATAGTACATGTACCCCACTCCATTGTGAAGGCTGCCTAGCGAAACCCACTATAATTCGTGTGTAGTCTGGCGAGTATAAAAGGGTCGAATGCTCTCCGCGGATGCCTGATCTCCAGTAAACCTGAAAACACCTCTTTCATCACGAACATGTCTTATTCACCACCCGACTCCGCCAAACCTTTCACTCTCAATGTCTCTGACCAGAGCATTTCGGAATGGCGTCAACTCCTCCAGCTCTCTAAGCTGGCCCCTGAAACTTGGGAAGGACGACAGGAAGACCGCCGCTTTGGCGTGTCCCGCAAGTGGCTGTCCGATGCAAAGGACTACTGGCTGAACAAGTACGACTGGCGCGCGCAAGAAAAACACATCAACTCGTTCCCGAACTACAAGATGCTAATCGAGGACGTCGATATGCATTTTGTCGCTCTTTTCTCTGAGAAGAAAGATGCCATCCCCATCATCTTCATGCACGGATGGCCAGGCAGTTTCCTCGAATTTCTGCCTATGTTGACGTTGATCAAGGAGAAGTATTCAGCCAAGGACCTACCATACCACATCGTCGTGCCCTCACTGCCCGGGTACACCCTGAGTACCGTGCAGTCGGTAGATAAGGAATGGACTCTGGCAGACAGCAGTCGCGTCATGAACCAGCTGATGCTGAATCTGGGCTTCAACAAGTACCTCGCCCAGGGAGGAGACGTTGGCAGCTTTACGGCGCAAATGATGAGCCAATTGTACGACTCCTGTGTAGCATTGCATTGTAAGTCCAAGTCCATATATCGATTACTCTGATTCTGATGTACCAGTGAACCTGATAAGTGGTCTTCCTAAGCCGGACGAGAACACTCCTTTGAATGAGGTAGAGAAGAAATCCCTCGGTTACGCAAAGGAATGGGCAACTAGCGGAACGGCCTACGCTCAGGAGCATGGCTCGAGACCCAGTACGATTGGGAATGTGTTGGCATCGAGCCCGCTCGCACTCCTTGCATGGTAATGTCATTGTTTTACGTAGAGAGATGTCGCCACTAACGTCATTCAGGATCGGTGAGAAGTTTCTTGAATGGAGCGATGAGGACCCGTCCCTCGACGAGACACTCACCAATGTGTCACTCTACTGGTTCACCGAAAGCTTTGCTCGTTCTATCTATCCCTATCGCGCGCTCTTTGGGTCGGGTGCTAGGGACATCGGTGCGCCTAAGAAGCCACTCGGTTTCTCGTTCTTCCCACGAGAACTGGCCCCAGGCATCAAGAGCATCTTGGAGAAGGAAACAAACTTGGTATTCTACAAGCAGCACGAAAGCGGCGGACATTTTGCTGCTCTGGAAAAACCGAAAGAGCTCTGGCAGGATGTTGAGGAGTTTGCCGGCAAGGTTTGGAAGGTATGAGGTGGCATGAAGGATAGTGTCTGTCTTTCTATTGCTTACGAAGGACGGCTGACATGATAAAGGGTTCTGCTACGTCCTCGAGATTGTAGGAATGCGATTGGAGGTCCCGGGGAGCTGTATGTAAGGAGTTGCGACTGCATGCAAGGAACTTGTCGATGCTGCTAGTGCTATATGGATGCGGAGTATGGTACCTGATTAGTTGCTAGGAGGTACATGCCCTGCGAGTAAATGTTATTCCTGCTTCATCGACCAAAAGTCGCTCAATTTCCGCGATCCCAGTTACCGATTTCACGTCCATCGCAATTTGGATGGAACGCCGATTTGTTATCAATACCCCGACTTATAATCAATACACCGTTGGGCCCACCCGCACGCGCAGATCGCTCCTCCCCTGGCGGCAGAACTCCGCCCATCGGCTTCAATGTTCCGCATGACGCGCAGCGCCGGCCCCAACCTTCAACGATCGCACGACAGCACTGACAGGACATGACAAGAGGCCAAATCGGGCCGGCTCTTATATGTTTTGCTAAAATGTTCTACAGCAAGTAACCACCTTCTTAGTGTCGCCTCCGCGCCCTCATCGGCAGATGCATCGGCATCACCAAGTACACCAGCTACGCGTACACGCAGCATGGTTACCCGTCGGCAGTTGTGCAACAGAACGAAACATCCAATCTGAAGTGCGATCACGTGAGCCTCCCAGTGTTGCCTCGGTAGTAGTAGACCTTTACCCCAGCTTCTTCGCATGCTTGTTGTACAATTCGGTGTTTGGTGTCGCCAAAGATCGTCATCGCGGCGCGTCCCTGCAGGGCTGCATAACGGAGCACCCCAAATATGCCCCAGCTTCTGTTATTCGTTTATCCTGCCCCAGGCACGGAGGCGAACGCTAGTAATGTACCGTGACGAAGACCCAGTTTTCGGTAGAATAAAGAGAAGATGCATTCCCAAAATGTTGGATTAAGGTTCTTACTCAATCTATCTGGCTTACTGTCAAGATGAGGTTCGACAAGTCACTCCAATGTGCGCTGCTGAATGCGCCTTCCGTCGTATTCGCCGCCCCACAGTCAGCATCCTACCCCACAAACGGCACGGCACCGGCCGCTTTCAGCTCGAAGTGTGCGGAACTTGCGTCTAAACTTCACATCGATGGCGGTGTTGTTACAACGGCCGAGTTTATCGCCGCTGGTACGAACCTGACTGTACCCGTATACGACGAAACATGTGCCGCAGCACCGCCAGCTATCACAGCGGACATGTGCCGCGTCGCGCTCAATGTGTCGACATCTGAGCGTTCTGGCTTCAGGATGGAGGCGTTCCTTCCAGCCAACTGGACAGGACGATTCCTCTCTGGCGGCAATGGAGGATTGAATGGTTGCATCAGTTACGACGACTTGGCCTATGCGGTTGGTCTAGGTTTCGCTGCTGTTGGGACCAACAACGGTCACGATGGCACGAGTGGCTTGCCATTCTACAACAACTCAGACGTCGTGGAAGACTTCGCATACCGAGCGTAAGTATTCACGTGTTGTCATGCTAGAGATTGGCTGATCAATATTAGTTTACATACTGGTGTCGTGGTCGGAAAGCAGATCACCAAAGACTTCTACGGCAAACCGCACGACAAGTCCTATTACCTTGGATGCTCCACCGGAGGAAGACAGGGCATGAAGTCTGCCCAAGATTTCCCAGACGATTTCGACGGCATTGTTGCGGGCGCACCAGCCTTCGCCTTCAACAACCTTACTTCATGGAGTGGTCACTTCTACACCCTCACTGGCCCAGCAAACTCGTCGTCCGCTTTCGTTCCCCAGTCAAAGTGGGTGCAGATTCACGCTGATGTCTTGAAGCAATGCGACAAGCTTGACAACCTCGAGGATGGCATCCTTGAGGCTCCCTTGCTGTGCCAGTATGACCCTTCGGGGCTAGCTTGCGCTGAGGGTAGCAACACCACTACCTGCCTTACGCCCGAGCAGCTAGAGACAGTCAAGGGAGTTTTTTCGCCACTTCTCAACGATGCAGGAGACTTAGTCTATCCCCGTCTGCAGCCTGGTGCTGAGGTGATTGCGGCTGGCGCTATCATCAACGGACAGCCCTTTCCCTACACAACAGATTGGTTCCGCTACGCCATCTACAACGACCCTAACTGGGACCCTGCGACTCTCAGCTCCGAGGACTACGACTACGCCGCAAAACTGAATCTGTTTGGAATCGAGTCCTTCAAGGGTGATTTGAGCGGAATGAAGGACCGCGGCGCCAAGGTCCTACACTGGCATGGCGGCGCGGACTTTGTCATCTCATCCGATAACTCTGCTCGCTACTACGAACACGTCACTTCCACTATGGGTCTATCGTCTGAAGAGCTTGACGAGTTCTACAGGTACTTCCTTGTCAGTGGAACTGGTCACTGCGGTGGAGGAGAGGGTGCGCACGCCATTGGCCAGAGTGTGGGCGAGGTCAACGGATACGAAACCAGCCACAACGTACTCATGGCTTTGGTTGACTGGGTAGAAAACGGCAACGCACCCGAGACACTTATCGGAACGAAGTTTGTCAACGACACGGTCGCTCTAGGCGTTGAGTTTGAGCGCGCTCATTGCAAGTTCCCCAAGGTCAACCAGTACAAGGGCGGCAACCCTGATGTTATTGAGAGCTGGGAATGCGTTGACGCGTAAGGTCGAGTTTGATTGTAGAAGAAAGCATAGTGAAAACGGATCAAAGACTTATGTTCGACACTTGATGGTTCTCGTATCAATATGGATGTCTTTTTTCCAAGATGCCAAACCCGAAGATCATTCGCGTACTTCCAAATCAGCCTTAGGGTCGTCGTGAAGCACTCAGTCGTTGTACCGCTTGCTACCTACACTGGAAACCTTCCCGGTGCGTAGACACCTACAGACACTTGCATCAAATGCATTATGAATGTCTGGCGAAGTGTCTCATACATATTTCACTTTGGCCGCCCTTAACGTAGGATTGTCCCAGGTTGATATTGAAACAAATCTAGAAAACAGTCGGCGTACCCACATACTTACAGGCCATCCGGATTTTTGCTAAGAACCATGGTTGAGATGCGTTGAAACCAAGGCTTACAATCCACAAGTGGTATTTTCGTGCCAACTCAATCTACGCGCGTTTCCTCGATAATTATCTTTAAGACATGTCAGTCTGTTTTGATCGTGCCTTGCATAGCATCGTCGGTGGATGTTTGAGAAGTGGAAGTGAAAGCCGAAGACTCACCGATTTCACTCCCCTACAACAACTACAACAGCGCAAGGTTAACAGCGTTTGACGTCACACAATTTCAGTCCGAGCGTCCTTTCTCTACAATGGCGCTCAACGGTATTGCAGTGCTTTTCAACGCGCCACAACTCACGTCCTCTGTGCATTCGAACTCGTTCCTCCAACACATCCCCACCATCGCAACATCTGCGTACACGAAGCTTGCGAGCATAATATCCAACAAAATGGGCTCATTTAGCGTTCCCGAGTCCCCAATTCCAGCGCGGCCTGCGAAGTCGGCGGCCACTGCGAAAAAGCCATCTCCAAGAACACATGACGCCAATACGTCCATAGGCAAGCGCAAAGAACGCGCCAATTCAGACGAGTACGGAGGTAACGGGGTAAACCAACCTTCACCAGCGAAAAAGAAAAAACGAACATCGTTGGACGGTCGTTCTTCGGGAAAGAAAGCGACTGACTCCAGTCCCACTTCAACACTACAAACGCAATCTAAGCACAGCCATGAAAAGGCGCCACCGACAGGCCGCCCGACGAACCATGAACCAACTTTCGCGCCAAACCGTCGATCGGAACCACCTCAATATCCGCCTCCAAACACATGTGGACACACGATCCATCCCGTCTATAGCGAGAATTACGCCAAAGCCATGTGCCCGATGTGTTTGGTGGATGCCTCAATGAAGACACTCCAGCACATCCAAGAGTTCATCAACGCCCATGATGGCTTGTCTCAATGGAAAGAGAACCTCGAGGGCCACTATGCCAAGTCGACTTACCATGTCGCCAGTCTGGGTGGTAAGAAGGGGAAGAATGTGAATGGAACAGATGTGTCTTACAGACACTGCAAGAGAAACTTGGTCAACTTGATCAACGAGATAGAAGATCTTTCCGAGATGGAGCTGGCCTGGGAAGCGAAACAGCCTCCTGAGAACAACGACGTTTACGTGCAACATATCCGACTCAGGAAGCAGTACAGTGCTACAGCTGCATTGCACTGGTACAAAGACACTGAACACAATGGCTTCATCGGTCGTGTCGAGGAGGACTGCGAGTTCTTCAGTCAGCGTCGTGGTCGGCGCTGGACAATCGCAAGCGATCCAGACTTCCCTGACCGAGATGGTCTTGAACACGACCTAGGATGGAAATCGCTCAAGAAAATCCAGCATAAGCTTCTCAACGAATCCGATATCCCCAAGGTTCAAAGGACCGATGTCGCAGAGCAACTGCCGACGCGAAAGCGCCGACGAGAGGGCGCAAGCGTTTCATGGGACGAAGATGTTTACGTTCGCACAGAGGCTGACGTAGACGTGCTCCGTAAGGCATCATGCTCGCTCTCAGTCGAGTTTCTCGAGCCTTCTCCAAAGAGGCCTAGGATGGGCGTGCTTCGCACAACTCCACTCGAGGCCACACGAGAGCTTATTCCCGCTACACCAGTCGCGAACGGCTCGAACCCTATTCGCCCTCACTACGTCATCCCGCTGAGCCGCAACGGGCCTCCGAGAGACGTTACTAGGAGCTCGATGTGCAGGCATAGACGACGGTACGTGAAGGGACAATGGGCAGTTCCGGAGGGGAGCGAAATCATCGATACCAGTGGATATCGCAAGAACTTCGACGTCCATGTCGCGAATATGGAGCAGCTGCAGATCGAGGCTGCAAAGATGGACCGAGAAGACCTTGGCGGGGATACAGAGATGAGGGACGCTCCTGCCGCTGATGCGCAAAGATCAACACCACAGCCGTCGCGGTGGTCACCAAGCCTTGGGGGCCGACTGGTGAATTGCATCGCCAACCTTGGGGTCTTCACTTTCCCGGGTTTTGACAGACATGATCGTGGCGGTGGTGAAACTTCGGCGCCGCAAAACGATGCTAGACACGCGAGTCTCCTGGCTTGATGCCGTTGTCAGGCTGTGACCGTACATCGTGCTGACATGTTGTAAGTCGTTCCCTATAGATTGTCTTGGTGTTTCGCACTAACGGTCGTTTCCAAGGTTTACACGATGGATGCTTACGTGCTCAGCCCCGACATGTGACCTATGTTACCTTGGCAGAGCGACTTATTCCCGACCGTCAACTCAACATCTCAATCTCAAAACCCACACAAGATTCCCGACACTGTTTGCGAAAGACCTAGCATCTTTTAAAGATGGGCTGCTCAGCTATGCGCTCTAGATTGGGGATCAAAAGGATTGATTCTCGGATCGACTTGGGGCGAGGATCCCCCGCAAAACGCCGACGGCCACATCCCGGAAATTGACACTCGCTCACGCTACGCTTGGCCTGCACGGACAAGAGATATCGATTCGGCGTAATTGTGACGCCTGAAGGACAATTCCGTCGTCCAGATCGTGTGTAACGATGTGATTCAAATGTCGATCATGTCGCTGCGTCGCTGGGTATAAAGCACCCTGTCTGCTTCATGCGCAGCGAAATGTTTCTAGTCTGATACCACTTGTAAAGTGCTCAACTGTGACCAGCATCACCGCCGATCTTATACGACAGGATGCGAGTCTCCATTGCTCCTGTAATTCTCTTCGCCTCTCTGGCATCTGCGGCCCCGCAATGGAGTGATCATTACAAACGACAATGGACTGATCATTACAAACGCGAGGTTCCCACGCCCTCACCCGAACTTGTTCAGCGCCAGGAGTCTTTCGCAGTACCCGAATGGGACAAACGCCAATGGACTGACCACTACAAACGCGAAGTTCCCACACCCTCACCCGAACTGGTTCAGCGCCAGGAGTCTTTCGTACCACCACCACCATTCGCAGCTATCCGAAGACAGGACAGTGCTGTATGGTACGCTCCTGGAGGCAAACGCGAGGCTCCCACACCCGCGCCCGAACTGGTTCAGCGCCAGGAATCTTTCGTACCACCCCGAGTCGCACGTGCAACTCCAGTCGCGGAAGCAGCTGTCCGAAGACAAGACTCAATCCTCAGACCACCTAAACGCGAGGTCCCCCCTACACCCGCGCCTCAAGCTCCAGGAAAGAGAAAGAATGCCCCACGCCAGCACACTGACCCGCCGGAGACTCTGCAGCTCCGCGGTATGCCTCGTCGAGACGACGCCGAGGCTCCTGAACCAACTGAACCTCCTAGTCCTCGTGACCTACCCGTAGGAGACGAAATTCTACCTCGAAGTGATGGAGAAGAGGAACCCATCACCAACGCCCGCAGAGCAGCGGACCCTGAGCCCACTGGTCCTAGTGACCAACCCCAAGTCATAGTCCCACGCCAAAAGACTGAAGACGGACAACGCAAGAGAAACGAAAAGGAGCCAATAACCGAGTTGCGCAGAGATGCCTACGCCAACCCTGAGCCCACAGACCCTCCCAGCCCCTGCGACCAAGCAGCACCAGCCAAAGTAAAGCCCCGAACCGAAGAGGAAGAGCCCACCGACCCTCCCAAAGCCAGAGCGGACACAGACACCAACCCCATCCTCAAAGCCCTATCAGGGACATACTCCCTAGTAAACACATCCAGCTCCCGCAACGGCGAACCCATCCCCGACCTGCCCTACGGCAAAGCCCCCGTCGGCCTGCTCATCTACACAGAATCCGGCTTCATGTCCGCCACCATCACAGCCACTGAACCTGAATTCCGACCTAACCTCACTTTCCCGTACCAGCCCAACGACTCAGACGCTGATTGGGCGCTCGTCGGCAAGCACAGTATCGGGTACGCGGGACCGTACAGCGTTAACGAGGAGATACCTGCGACGGAGACGGAGGGCCAGATTTTCCATGGCCCGCTTACGGTGGCGAATGTGCCGACTTGGGAGGGGCAGAAGGGAAAGAGGAATTATACGATTGTTGAGGTGGAGGAGAATGGAGAGGAGGTTACGTATTTGAAGATTGGAAGTGAGCGAGGTAATGGGTATAGGGGTATTCTTTGGTGGAAGAAGGTTGATTAGATGGTGGTGATGTAGTTAGACTAGCAAGATTTTGATAGCGAAACAAACTTCAAGTTTGCTTATGCTGTCTCGATGGTTATTCTCCTCGTGTTCAATGAAATGTGCTTTCATTTGTCAGGATAAGTGACCATGATGACAACTTGCGAAAACAAGAAATCGTTGGGACGGAAATAAGTATTGAGTGATGATTGCACCAAAAGTTGACCATGTTTTGGAGTGTTTCGTATGTGGATGCTGATTGATGATTGATGGTAGCGATAACAGCAACTTCATAGTAGCTGCCAGTGTCCATCCAGAATGCTAGGGTCTTATTCAAATCTCTCTACTGCATCCCGGCCGCTTGTCAAACACTTCTGGTCTTGACCCTTGTGCAATCTGTCGAGATATCAGTCATTGCATAGCCCTCATTCTCTTCCTATTCAACCCTGCTTGAACGCCGTAGAACGTCAAATCTGTCCGGCTGACAAGACCCAGAAGGCGAAACATCAGGATGGCATATATGACTTCAGCAGAGCCAAAATCTCGCCAACAGCTGTGTTCGTAGTAGTTGCTCCCTCTCCGCGAGAAGTGTCTGACGCCTAATCATCCGACTTCATTTCCACGTCCTTTGCATCTTTCGTCTCCTCTTTTGCTGGCGCTTCTTCTTTGGACTCTTTGTCTCCAGCTTTCGCATCGCTAGGTTTCTCAGATCCACCATCTTTCATCTCTTGATCTTTGGCTTCTGTCTCAGCTGGCAACTTGGCCTCTGGACTCTTGTGGTCGAGGCTCGGCCTGCCAATGGCTCCTTCAATGTTGAGCTTTCCCTGCTTCTGAGGACCTGTATCTTCCATGCCAATAACCTCTGGACCTCGGGCATGCGGCGCTTCTTCCTCGCCCTCGACGGTGTCTACAATGGTACCTCCACCTTCCATCTCGCCGAATGTAGTTCTTGTGGGGCTAGTGGTCATGCTGTGCGGGTTGTTCAAAACAATGCCGGCCTCTTGTTCTTGGCGCAGAAGTTCGCCTTGAGTGACGGGCCCTGTAGACGGCAGCGTCTCGCCCTCGGGGTGTGACGAAGCAATTTGAGCTACATTGGAGGTGGGAGATTCTGCCCGCTGACCACTCAGCATTCCCACCGTCACTGTTTCTATGCGTCCGGCACCGTTGGGACCGTCGACCATTTCGGTGCTTTCTGAAATGAGCTCGTTCTGGCCGCGGTTCTGGAGCCAAGGGATGGGCGTAAGTAGGGCCCCGCCTAGTGCCTCATCTGAACCTAGCTGTGCTGTTTGCGTAGTGGTGGATGTGGTGCCATTGAGCAGTCCGCTGGAAGTCGGCAGCACGGCTTGTGGCAGAGGGAAGATGGTGAGGGGCGAGGAGACGGAGACGACACGGTCGAGTGCGCGGAGGTAGGGTGGCAGGTATCGGTAGCGTTTCTTGGGCTCGAGTATGAGTTCAGCTAGGCGTTGGACGGTATGCGGGGGATGGTTCGCGAAGTTCTTGGAGAGAGTGGAGCGTATTGAGGAGTAGAAGGTGGTGACGTCTGTTGGCACGCTTTGCGACTCGGTCGAGGCGGAGAAGGCAGGCACAGGCGGCCGCGGGGGCGTGGCGGGCGGTGCATTCTCCTTGTCGGTGGCATGCGAGTCTTGGCTGGATATGGCATTGGACGTGTTGGGTCGCGAGGGCAGGTCGGTGGTCGCGGACGTGGTCGGCCTGGGGAGTGCGTCTGCGGGTGGCTTGGGGAAGTCGGTGATGATCTGCGAGGGTCAGGGTTGATGGGTGTGGATATGGGTAGCTCGGGATTACCTCATCCAGGCGATCCAAGATGTACTGCAGTGTCTTTGGCCATTCTGCTCTGCACACGGGCGCGTTAGATGCTGCATGCGCCGGACGCGGGCTCTGGGGTGGGGACGTACGAATCGAGGGAGCCGTCCTCGGCAGCTTTCTGGAGGATTAACTCTGCTGGAGGAGCATCAGTAGGTGCCGCGTTGCCAGGACCCTAGAATCCCAGACTCACCAGACGTCATGGCTGCGGCGCGTGGGTGTCGTGGTGGTGGTAGAGGCGCGACTCGCGATGGGGCTGCTTTTGGCGGGCCGATACTGCGTCAGTCGAAACGGCGACCCTGTGCACTACGCGTCCTTAATGATGTCAGATATGGCTGTGTGATTGGCCCAAGCAAGTGACGGGAAAGCTGTCGGAGTCGCGCAAAATGACGGCAGATTGAGCTCCACTGCGCTGGACTCGTACCGTAGTGCTCAAGGCCTGCGCCACAGATGCAATCTAAAGATAGCGCAGGCGGGCCAATGAGCAGCGGGAGTCGCCGGGCGGTGCAGGTGGGCGATGGTTCAGCAGCAGCTGGGGCCAAGCCTTGTGCGCGTGAGAGGATGCCGAAAGCGACAGGCAGCTGAGCAGCCAAAGGCTTGGGCCGCGCCGCAGCATGACAGTCGCGCCGTACTTGTAGAAGTCAGACCGCCCGACGTGCGCATTCTCGTGCTTCGTATTTTGATATCCACAAAGCCTCACCCAGGCTACCGTTGACTGAAGTAAACACGGAGCAGCGAGCGGGTCTTACGGCGAGACCCCCTTCAGCCTTTCTCCACACCGGCCGGGGCTCTCCCAGGCGCTACTTTGCGCACATCTCAGCACCTGCGTCCACCTAGCAGCAGCCGTCCCATCTCCGCCCACGCCCCTACGTCCTAACAAACAACACCTCCTCCCGCCGCTCGCTCGCATTGTTGTCCGTCGATATCGCTCCTTATCACCAAGTATCCCCATCTCCGACCCGTCGCTCGTCATCGCCTGTTGCTTCTTCGGCCTCTCCGCATAGCCAAGATACTAGTTTCAGCGACGCGCGCTCACCTGCTCCCCCGACGACAGCGACTCCCTTGGTTTCAGCAGTCCGCCCAGCGCCCGCCCTCTGTCTCAAGTACCCCGGCAGCCCTACACACCGCACCACGACACAGGTCGCAGTTTGTCTGCGCCGCACCACCACGCCCGCCTCACCACCCGCCTCTATATCCCCACGCTCCAGCCGCCCATCGCGGCTGCCACCATAGCCAAAATTACTCACCACGAGGCCCGCCATTCCCTCCTAGGAGGCCAACCCCTCGACCGAGGCTACGCGCCCTACCCCAACACGACGTATCAACCAACATACCCACCGCAGCCCTCTTTCGATACCCAGCCTGGGGGGTATCACCACCGCGAAGGCTTCCCCACCACCCTCCCACCCGTCGTGCGCCGCCCACCGAGGATGTACGTTCCGAATACGCGGTGGACCTGGGCTTTTATGCTCACGGCCATCTGCCAGGTCGGCATTGCCCTCGCCCTAGAGTCGTACGTCTGCCGTTGCGCCACCCTCACCACCATGCGCCTGCTAACACCCCATCAGATATGTCTTTAGCAAGTTCCAGAATGAGATCCATTTCGCGGCCTCTGGTGCAGGCGCCAACGAGACCCGCACGATTCCCACTTTCCTCGCCGTCTTCATGTTCGGCTACGTCTACCAACTATTCCTCACCTGGGATGCCCTGCGCATGAAGAACACCATTCAGGTCATCGGTCTCGTTCTCTACAACATCGGCATTCTTATCTACGCCGCTATCCAATTCGACCAGATCAAGGACGCTGCCGACGACCTCAACACGCGCCGCTTCATCCCCCAAGACTTCTGGGACGACGTCAAGCCTATGCTTATCGCTCTGCCCGTGCTGATGGCTGTCGCTACTCTCATTTTCGCCTTTGAAGCATGGAAGCTGTACGATGAGTTTGCCTGGACCATCTACAAGCGCATCAGTGCCGACACAAGACTGAAGAGGCGCTATCTGACTTATCAGGTACGGCTTGTCCAACATCATACATGCGCGCCTTACTGACTACGATATAGATTTACATCGCGCTCCTCAAGTTCGACTTCTTCTTCTTCCTGGCCTTCACCGTGCAGTTCCTCGTCGTCGTCAAGAACACCAAGACAGTCGAACTCATCCTTACCGCAGCCGCCCTCGTCATCACCTTCTTCCTTTTGTTCCTCGCCGCCTGGTGGGTCCGTCGCGAGTCTGTCGCTGGAATGATTGGTATCATCGTCGTCTACTTCATTGCTCTCGGCTACTTCCTGTTCAAGCTCATCCGGATGTGGGTCGCCGATGCCAGCCGCCAGGAGGACTACAAGCCAGCCCGCAAGTCGCTGACTGCCTTTGCCATTCTCACCATCCTCCTACTCATCATCACCATTGTCACCGCGTGCTTGTGCACACACAACTTCAACAAGGGCTTGAAGCCCCATGTCAACGACAAGATTGTCCAGAACGACAAGACATACAACACAGAGATGCCATCATTGAGCGGACCTGCGCCATCACAACGGATGGAAATCGACTAGGCGCCCTTTTACATACCCCATTACACAAAATTTACGACATGACTTCTTGGATACCTGCTTTCTGCGAGCATAGCTTCATCATACCCGGATGAGATCAGCGGGACTGGCGTTCTTTCATCTAGGGATTCCTTTGGGCTATATGCGGAGATATCAGGTTGAAGATGGGACGGATTGCAATGTCGCATCACGTACGAGGAGTTATACCAACCCGCATTGTTTCCTTATTTCTTCCTTTACGACCTTTTGTACAACAACTGTCGGTCCTTTTTGTAACTAGGTGTCTGCTCATATTATACCCCACCATGAACAGACGAGCTCGGAATTGAATTGCGTTATGAACTGACTCTGTCTTGCTCATCATGCCAGTGAGCCCTGTTTGTTTTGGTACTTGCATCTAGATTTGTGTACGTGAATAAATGCTTGTTCACGGTCGAGGCCCGATAGCCTGACAGTGGAGATCAAGGGGTTCAAAAGCTAGCGAAGCTCCCCGACCGCCATGTGCGGGCGCGGGACCCTGCACGACATCATCGGGTCCCGCAAGCTCACCAAACTTACGTTGCTAGACTTACTCGACTTTCTTTTTCCACACACACCTTCTCCACTCTCGCACCCTTTTTTTCGCGGTCGGGTCGCTCGCTCTCAGTC